GAGCAGGGCCGTCACAACACATCCTGCATCACCTCCTTTTAAATTATTCCCCCTCCATACCAGTTTGTCTTTGCAACTGGGCTTGGGACTGGAAACCCAGGCTGGGCTCCCACGGGCTTCGGGCTCTCTGCTTCCAGTCAGCAGGACCCCTACAGCTTTCGCTGACACCCCACCCACAAAACTCCGCATCTCCAGCCAGACGGACAAGGCAACAGATCTGATTCTATAATTAAACATAATCACAGTTAATCATTTAGTAAGTGATGTGCAAACCAGAATAGACTTCAGTTCACTTTCCCATAAGCACACTGCTTGTGAAGTAACGAGAATCAACCTGCTTCCCACCCCTGCCTCCACACCACCCCCTGCACCCTCTCGTTCTGGTCCTCTCTGTGCCCGGCCCTTTCCCCTCCTCTACTCCCCTTCTCCAAGAGATTTAAACCTTTGCCTCTCTCTCTGCTGCCCCATTTCCACGCTGCTGGAGCAGGGAAGCTGGAGTTCTTAGGTGATGCACACTTGAACACCTTTAATTGCAAATATACTCTACCGAATGCACACTTCCATTTCAAGCAAGTGAGAAAGAAAGAAAACCATAAGCAAAATGAAAACTATCCAGTGAAAAAGTGTTACAACATATCGAGACAGCTGAAACTTTAACACAACGTTTTAGTCAAGCTTTCATGATACTTAAAAAGGAAAAGTCAGGATTGATTCTGCTTGTGCAATGCTGGATCAAGCCCGGTATTTCTGTTCACACAATTTCTGATAGGCCATTCCGGACGGTGCAAAACAAGCCTCTCGGCAGATCTATTTCTGGCTGTTAGCTTGGCTCCAGATTTTGGCTGCCTCCCATTTTTCCTTACGAAGCCTATCAACTGCCCCAAGAATTGCTTATGTTTCCAGGTGAAGCGAAGGTTACATCCTGCCGTTCCTGGAATCCTGAAATTCCTCTACACACCAAACGCGCTGTGAGCGGCCTATGTTTTGTTAAACTTATCAGTTAAAGGCACCGAAATAACCCGTGACATGTTAAATTTAGATCACTTCTAAAAAGGAAAAGAGCTAAGCCAGTTTAGTTCAGCTTGCCTAGTGTCCTTTCCTTCATTCTTATTACTGGAGGCTGTCCACTGGCCTCGATTTAAGTGGTGGGTTTTGGTTTTGGCATTAGGGGTTGGGGGTGTGTGTGCTTTAACTGCCTGCAGATCATATCAGAAAATTAGTTAATAAATACTGTCTTGAAGTTACATTAATCAAGTGGAGACAAAGACTCAGCATGCTGCAGACTAGTTAAAACAAGAAAGCATTTTTTAAAGGAGACAAAAATAAACATAGTAGCATAACATTTGTTATATTCACCAGCATTTGTCACACATTTTAGTGGAGAAATGTCTGTTGCAGACAGCATAATAAGATTTGTTGGAATATCTACAAAGATTGAGGATAATCGATCTAATGGTATCCTGAATTTTTCTTGTCCTCTTGAATTTGTTTGTTCAAAGTTTCTTGGGGTTTTGTCTTGATATAAAATGTGTGTCGTATAATATCTCACAACAGACACATCAATGACACCATTAAATAACAGTCATGGGATTGTAATGGCACTACCAAAAAAAGGATCCAATTCTTTTTATACATTCCCAGCAGTGAGTGCTGCACTACTAATCCATTTGAGTACTTCTTGTCACGTCGATATTTTGACTCCCAGAGCCTTTGCCTTTTTTTTTACCCCCCTTCTTTTTTTTGCCCCCCCTCCCCCATAATCTATCTATCATCTAGGCAGGAGTAGGGAAGAAGGCCTGGCACCAAGGTTGTGTTTCTGAACAACAGGATAGCAGAGAGTAAAATCCCTGGGGGCAT